CCTACCCCAGAGCTTCTCTAGAAGTGTGGAGACATGGGGGACAGGAGCTAATAGACAATTCCCACCCCCTTCCATTTCCTGGATGATTGTAGTTTCCTTGGAATGTCCCATGGGATTGAACATAATGTGGCCAATTCAATACCTGTCCTTCTATTGGCTTCCCTGTGTCCCTCTTTTACTTCCTTGTCCCTCTCTCGGGCTCCCTGGCATCACTTTCTAAGTCAACTACCTGCACACAAGCTTCTGTCATGCTCTGCTTTGGGGACAACCCAGGCTGAAACAATCGCCCAGAACTGTCATTTAAAATATGCCTCCCATCTTACTCAGGTCCCTAAGTAGGGTCAGATTTCCTCTCATAAGACTTAAAGTTCAGGGAAAGATTAGAATCATTCTATTTTCTTACAGATATTCATACATTTGCATTTACACACAGAATTAATATCACTTTTCTATAAATGGCGCTTTATGTTTTCAGAGCTCGACACTTGAGGTTGAGTTCTTATGGTTTTGTAACCATCAGCACAACCTTCCACTAGAATCTATAGCCCACCTGGCACACATCCTGGACAGATGAGTTGGCTCATCAACCTTATGAATAAGTCGAAGAGCTGAGAGTAAGTCAACAATAACTAGATTCTTATTTCTAAAACAACAGGACCTCATGATTTAGAAGATTAAGCAAAGGGGAAGCAGTGGTTTGTGGGCCAGGATGAGGGAGAGGATCTCATAAAAGAGATTATGGCCCCATTTATTACCAGATTTCACTGTGGGTGCGTTTTAGCTGAAGACTTGCTGTCCTTTACATTCCAAGCTACTAACTGTTTATGATTTATCTACTGTGTGGCACTATGCTAGGTCCTATAGGGGTAGGAAAATAATAAATGTTTTGAGTCTTCAGAGAATTTACAATTGAGTTGAGAAAAAGTAATTAGAAAATAAGTTTTGACAATAAACAGAATCAAGGCTTAAACTGCTTGGTAGAGAGAGTGAGTTCTCACTGAATTAAGGATAGAGAAAGGAGTGAGTACAGAATTTTGCCCAGAAGGAATTTGCAGGAAACAGACACATTAAGTTAGGAAATCGCCGATTAGGGCTGGTAGAAAGGTAAAGGAGGTTACTCCAGGCTGGAGGAAGAGCAGGAACAACGACAAGGAGAATCATTCATTCAGCCATTTGCACCCATTTTGTGCTCAGCATCCTACCTGGTGCTGGGAATATAATGATGAATAAGACACACTCAGTCTCCACGCCCTGGAGCTGGAAGCCCTTGGGGATCCATGAATGAGCTTGGTCTTCATTGAGTCAAACTCCCTGGGGACTGTGTCGCCCTTGAAAGACAAAATAAAAGAGATGTTGATAATTTTATGAGAAAAATTTTTTTATAGATTTTTATTTCTGAGGTATAAAATGTTTGTGTCAATTGAAGATAAAAGCCACCCTTTGTCATTATCTTACATTTCAAACTCTTTAACATATGTTCTTTTCTCTGGAGAACTAGGAAATTTAGTTAGCACACAGCTTTCTCTTGGATCAATAAATTCTTATATACATTTTTTCTTTCCAGAAAAATAAATCAGGACAACATTATACACTGATAGTCAAGACTTCTCATTTATTACTTTCTTGCTCAAAGCCTCAACAGATGCACATTTCTAGCTACTAATAAAAGCCCTTTTCCATAAAAGCCAGGCTTTAGGCTCTAGATGAATAACAGTTTAGGAGATTCTCCAGCAAATTTGTGCTCAAATTCTCTGACTACTACAATTTTTCAGCCTGTCCTTTCGAACTGGAGATAAAATGAAATAATTGTATATAAAATGATGAAGACCACTTAGAGATCTCATAGGGCTTACGCCTTCTTCTTATCATACATTGAACCAGATTTTGAGCAAGTACCTGAGACACAATGATGTGTCATTGGAAGCGGCATCCAAAATGCTACCTCACCTCAGTTGAGAATTTAGTGGGAAATCCCCTCTGCCTGCACTACTATCGTTTTATATTTCAGACATAGGAGAGAAGCACAGAACTGACCTGGTATTTGTTGTTTTATTGTGATGAATATTTTTTCTTTTAGAAGAACAGAGAAAAGTAATTTGTGTGAATTGTGGCTTCCTGACTCTTGATTACATAACAGAGAGGCGTCTGTGTGGAAAAGGAAATTGATTTAAAAGCAGTCAGTGGCCGCATCTAACACAAATTTGATGAGTAAAATGAAAAGAGGCTCTGATGATGACAAAGTAGATTTAAAAAAATTGGCAGCGTGAAGCCCTCGAAGAAACCTCATTTTGATCTGCTCAGTACAGCGACTGGCACCTCAGCCACTGTCCTTTCATCAATTAGCCTCATTCCCAGGCTCGCAAGCTGGAGACAGGTCCTGCAAAGGAGTGAGAATGGTCTCCGAGTTCAGTTTAATCTTGACAGAGGGTCTACTATATAGCAGGCACTCTCCTATACCAGAAGACATAGATGCATCAATTTATTCATTTATAAATGTTTATTGAGCATAGCTATGTGCCTGGCCCTGGGGATGCAGTCACGAATAAGACAAAGTCCCTTTGGAGCTGAGATTCTATTGAGCGAGCCCAACTATCAAAGTTACAGACGTGTTCAGGATACAATTTCAGGCGTGGTCCTTACCCTCGAGAATATGATACACTAATGTGGGAAGTCAATACATATGAGAAGGGGGAAAACCGGCTGGAAATAGAGGGAGCCAGATGGCTAGGAGTCTGTGGTCAGGTGCTGTTTCAAACTGACCTTGGCTTACAATTGTTTCTCCTTTGGTTTTTGGACAATCTATGTGCCTCCAGTGACACTCTATATATCCTCTCATTGTAGAGGTGTTTACAGTCTCCTTTTGTGATCTGAGTATAATTATACAGTCCAAGTTAAGATTCTTACAACTTCTCTACTTTGCTGGACCATTCAGTAGAAATACAGAGAACCAAGCAAAGTCTTGGTATGAAGAAGTCCAGGGAACCCTAATCCCTCTAGAGACTTTTCCAAGGCTAAAAGGTTGATGCTACTTATTCCAAGATGCCAGAAATCCATGGAGGCAAAGGTCAGATCACCTGATAAGACCTTTGAGTCCAAACATCTCAGGATCAGGCCACACTTGCAGACTTGCTCTTTCCACCTCTCCAGATAAAGCTATCCTTGCCCCTAGTCAATCAACTCTGCCTATACCCCCTCCTCTTCTTTTCTGGGAGGGAGTGGAGAAAGACACATTGTGAAACAGGCAAGAGAGTTCACTTTTTTAAGCCTTTGTCTAAGCTGAGCCCTTTGAGCTGAGCCCGAGACCTCCTATTGCCACTTCCTACAAGTCCATGTGCATCATGAGTTCCATGAGGCTTCCTGATGGTCTGAGGTCAGCTGGTCTCCATCCTCTCTGACTTCCCTGGTCGCTCAGTGGGGCAGGAGATCCTGGCACACCAGTCCCCAACTCCACCCCTTACTGCACCTGAAAAAAAAATTGAGAGGGGAGAAGAAGATAAATTTAAAAGGAATTCTGTAAAAAACATCTAACACAATCCTAAAAGCATCTTTTCTTAATAAGTCAGTAAGGTTTAGTTTCTATGCCTCTTATTCTTTCTCTTGTACTCCTTCCTTGTGATTTTCTGAATAAATAATTTACTAATTATGGCACCAGCCATGTTTTTATCATTTTTAAGCCAAATTTCCTGAGAGAATTGCACACTCGTTCTTCACTATGTGTCACCTAATACAGGGAAGACTATAAGGATGGTAACTAAGGAGCTTAACCTCAGTGAGCAGACGGCTGGTCCAGGCTGGTGCCTCAGCGTTAGCACTCTCTCACAGCCTCCTCCCCACCAGGTGAGGCAGCCAGATGGAATGCGATGGCATGGATCCAGAGGTTTCTTCTTGTTATTGTGAAAATTATTCATTACGAGGAAAATAGTAAAATATTTTGCAAGGTGCTGTTCTGAAAAAGAAAGCAGATGTTTTTAAGTGAGCAATTATGGACTGGTAACAAAATTAAACAGAGTTTTGATCTAGATTACAAGGTGCTCTGACAGAGATGCACCTGGAGCAGGTCTTGTCTCCTCTGAGGGTGTGTGGACAAAGCCAAAGTTTGTCTGTGGGATACTGAGGGTGAGCATACAAGAAGAGATAAGGAGCCTATTTAAGGAAGGAAGTATGAAGCTGGTCTGGTGTAGTCATTAATAGCATTCTGATACACTGTAAACTTTTTATACTTCTTTTATTTATTCATTTAGACTTTATTTATTTATTTGGCCTATAATTTTTGACACCTAATCTGTGCTAGGGACTATATTGGCAAATAAAGTGATGGACGAAACACACTCTGTCCCCCTTAGCTTTCAACATACAAACTAAGTTGAATGAAGGTCTCTTCTGCCTAGTTGCATCACAAGAAAAGACGTGGCCAGGCCATTTGCTAAGAGCAGTGCTTAGGATGGCAGGCAATGCAGAGCCCTGTGTCCCTCCAAAGCTGCAACCCCCCGTGCCTTATGCGTTCTGCATTCTCCTCTGCTTGGACTCACCTTACGCTCGGCAGGTCCAGGCAGGGGCAGTATAGACAAGGAGACCACCAGGCTGCTGCTTTGGTCTCTGTCTTAAGTAATCAATCCTGAACTGTAAAGGGTGGAAAAGTCCCTGGGATATACGAATTCACTGAGAAATTCATTACAGATACTAACTAGCAATAATGCTGAGGAATCATGCACTGCTGATGACTATCGTCGTGACCCATAAAATAAAAATTAACAAAGCTTTACGATTTATAACTTCCCTTCTTAAATGTTACCTGTGATACTAAAAACTCTCAAATGCCTGGGAAGTTGATGTTACAATTCGTTTGATAAATGAGGAGAATGGAGCTTGTTCCAATTAGGCCCCTTGTTAATGGAAGAGCCAGGCCAAGATTTCTATCATACCCTTGGGTTCTGGCCACCGTAGCATGCTACCCTTTGAGCACAAGTAAATTACTTTGAAATGCAACTGCTTACCTTACCTATGTATCTCCATAGTGCCTGAACAGTGAGGACCTTTTACTGGTAGCCTGAGTATCTCTTGAGAATTTTGTGAATGTAGGCGTGAGAACAATTCTGCCAAGGTGGAAATTAGATTTCAACGATGGTGTTCAAGATTATCATTTCATTCACTACTGCAAAGCGAGAAGGCATAAAACGAAGTGATGGGGAAATTATTTTCAAACCTTGCCATTTGCTTAGGCTATAGGAATATTTGCCTATTGTAAATTTAACCTTTTATTTTTGAAGTGAAACTTCTTTTTGAAGACAAAACGCTGAGATTTTTGACTGAGAGTAAATTGATTTTCCCATAGTTTTAGCTATTTGGCTACATGAGTTAGGAGCCAGTGAGGTCCCAAGGTGAACAAAATGCAATTTGCAGAAGCACCAACCAAGGCATTTCCCATAATTCGCAGAGTGATGCTGTCATCCCACCTTATTTACGTAGCACCCGTGTGTGTACAGCCCTCTGTGTGTCCTTTATAATACCTTCATTCTCTCATATAAGCCTTACAAAAATCCCGTCAGAAAGTTTAGGTGACTTGACTGTAGCCATATAGCTAGTAAGTAGGAGAGCTAAGATTGACACCAGAGGCCGTGTGCCTACAAACTTTGTCCTTCAGAGGGGCCTTGGAACACTGCAATGTCTAAGAGGGACAGGGTCAAGGCTACTCATCTCTGCCTCTTGCAGAGCATCCCCTGTCTTGATCTCTTTTATATATGGTGGGGTTCCTCAAGTTTAGAGCTCACAAAATTTATAGCACAACTCAGATGCACAAGGAAAATGTAATTTCTTTGTCTGGTCCGCAGCTAATTGGGTTGCCCTTAACAGGCCTCATCTGATGGCAAACAGAGAAGAGAAAGTTAAATGAGTGTACAGAGGAGTTTAAGATTACTTCAGTCTAAGCACTTCAGAGTGCTTTTTAAGAAGGCGCAGTGTTTTAAAGAACTGCCTCAGTTCCTCTTTCCATCCTCGAAAGGTGTCTGGGTGTGTCAGGGGAAGGGTGTATGACTTTCCAGACCATGTCTGCTGCCAGGCTCCTTGGTTGCCTGGGTACCAAGCACCCAGATGTTCTCCAACGCTGAAGCAACTTGAGGGCTAGTCATTTAGCTCCAGCAAACTCCTGGCAAAGCTACCCAGCTGAAATGGCCCCCTTCTCCTGTTACAGCTCTTCCGAGGTCTGGTTGTGATTCTCACTTGTTTCTCATCTGAGCAGCCAGCTCTGCAGTCTTTATTAACTAAGAGACACCTCCTCCCCAGAAAGAGGCTCCCTCTGGCTAAACTGGCTGCTTATACCAAGTTAGACAATGAGCATTTCCCTGCTGGTCTTAACAAATCTATTCTCAGCAAAGTTGTGAGCAGCAGATTTAGTTACACATAAAGTAGGAATGATTGCTTTTCCTCACGCAAGGGACTGGTGATGTGACGGTATCCATAATTGATGCGAATCAAAAATTGCAGAATGTCAGCACTGGGAAGCGTCTCAAAGGCCGTCCACACTCTTGCTCCCCATCTTACAGGATGAAGACCTGAGGCCCAGAGAGGAAGTGGTGGGCCATGATCACAGCCCATTTATGGCGTTTAAGTCCCCCAAACCACCCTGCCAATAAATTCTAAACCCACATCAGTCAGAATGGCTGAGTGCTGACCCCAACGCCTGGGCATGACAGTTACATGCACACTACACTTTTACAAAGTTAGCCTGTTGGAGAATGGCTGCAATTTTGGGGGCACATACCAGTGTTCTATGAACCCAAAGAGATCAACCACATTTCTTTTTAAGTGACTTGTCCTTAAGTTTCCTATGTTTTTGGAAGGCATCTGAGAGACCAAGATTGAGAAGGAAGTGGAGGTGTACAAACCAGCTCAGGAAGATTTTTTCAGTTCTTTGCTCGCTGTAGCTTCAAAATAATGTCACCTCTGGGAGCATGATAGAGGATTTCCAGCAGAAAATGTATTCAGTAATGAGGAGTATAAAAAAGCACTTCCATGAATACTAATGTGTTGTCTAAATGCTGTATCTTCGATTTTTCACCCAGTGAATTATCAAAAATAAATGTAAAAGTAACTCTTTTGGGAATGAGATACCAAGCCGAAGGGGAGTGGGGGAGGGCGGGGGTAAGGGAGACTTTTAAAAAGGCACAAAATGGCTACAAAAAATAGGAAAATGTTCCAGATTAGAAGTGCCTTTTCCAACGCAGAGCAGACCACTGATCCTGGGTCCCCATAGAAAACATCGCGAGACGAAAGTTTATGAGCTGTGGCAGGAAGGTCACCCTGGGGAGCAAAGGAAGGGAACAGGGAGAGAGATAGAGCCAGGTGGGTAGGATGGGGGACTTCTGGGAAGCTTGTGTGATTCTGTTTTATTCTCCAGATGTACATACTTGCCTGGCTTTCAAAATCACATGATTATTCAATGACTTGTGTTGCCAAGCTCTCAGAGTCAGAGATCTCTAAGTCCATGCCTCTCACTGGTCAGAATCCACCCCACCAGGCATCAGCATACCTCATTTTCCTGGGTTGGGTCACCTGCCTTTCCAGGCAGCCCGTGGGGAAGCTCTAGCAGCAGCAACCTATTCCAGCGTTATAGAGGTGTGAGCGTCCCTCACTGGGGCCTGTTATGGGTTGAATTGTGTTCCCCTCAAATGTCGAAGTCCTAACCCTCAGTACCTCAGAACCCGACCTTATTTGGAAATAAGATTGTTGTGGATATAATTAGTTAAGGTGAGGCCATACTTGACTAGGGTAAGTTCTTAATCCGATATAACTGGTGTTGTTATAAAAAGGGGGAATTTGGACACAGACACACGTAAAGAGAGGACACAGTGAGAACCTCATCTACAAGCTGAGGAACAAACGCCTGAGGCTTCTGGAAGCTCGGGAAGAGGCATGGAACAGGTTCTTCCTCACAGCCCTCAGAAGGAACCAACCCTGCTGACACTGATCTCTGATTTCAAGCCTCCAGAATTGTGAGACAATAAATTTCTATTGTGTAAGCCACCCAGTTTGTGGTATTTTGTTACTTTGCTAGGAAATTAATACAGGGAAATTCTTTCCTACTCCCACCACGTAGCATCCCTCCCGTAGCCTGCCTCCAACTTTGCCTAAATCTTCTCCTTTTAAAACTAAACTATTCTCAAAGAAGCTTTATTTGTACTGTACCAAGTCTTGCCCCTCTCCCAGGGGGATCTGCACTGAAATTTTATATGCGATTGTGGAATGTAAAGTCTTGAGCCTGTTTTGGGAAGCAATAAAGCATGGAGGGCAAAAGCACAGATTTGGCAGTCAAGAAGAACTGTGTTTCATTCCTCACTCACCGCACAACTTTGAGAAAGTTAAAGAACCATGAACTTCTCATCTGTTAAGTGGGGCATTGATGTTCCTCACTTTGCAGGGTTAAGCGAGATTGCAAAAGTAAAGCACTGAGCACAATTCCTGACACAGAAGCACCTCAATTAATGAGAGCTATTAATAACCGTAGCTATTGGGGGAGCTTCAGGCATCGAGGAGCAGGGGTGGGGGAGTGTTCACACAGTCTTTTCAGCTCTCTGAAATCAGACTAGACAGTTGCCTACTCAGTTACATAACTCGAGTCACATGTATAGTCACCAGCAAGCCAAAAAAACACATGACTCCTATATGCTTTGGGGAGTGTAAGAAAACAGAAGATTTTAACATTGAAATGAAAGGATTTGATCAGCCACAGGATGTAAGTGAAATTCAAGAATCGGGTAATGTCCCCTGTATCTTCCAGAGGGAGGGAGAAGTCAGCAAATATAGGTACTTAGAGTTGGTAACATCCGACCCTTAGGTCAGAAGACACAGCCTCCCTCCTATATACCCCATTGACCCTGTGCCGTGTCTTAGTCTCTCTGAGCTTCAAGTTCCTTGCCTGTAAGGTGTCATGGAGGATGGTATGGTTACTCATAAATATTTTCTACTCCTCTCTGGGTGATGTATATAATTCCCCACCCCAATAACATCAAACTTATCCCTATGACTTGCTTTGACCAACAAAAGGTGAGTGGACATGACAGCTGTGCTCTCAAGCCTTTTCTCACCTCTCTTACCATGAAAGTTTGTGTTGCGATGGAGTCTCTGTTGGCCTGGCCCTGAGTGTCTAGGATAAGCAGTTGACCTTGATAGTCTACGATGGGTATGGACCATAGCAATAAACTAACTTGGCTGCTTTAAGACATTGAGAAGTGGCGTTATTTGTTTCTACAGCACAACCCAGCTCATTGGGACTGATGCAGGTGGGTAGTCAGACACCTGCATCACAGGGCTTTGATGAAGAGCTTTGCAAGTACAAAGCGCCCTGCAATCATAGGACAATACTTGAGAAAAAAAAGGAATTTTAATTTCCATGACTTATTCCCTACTCCCACCAAAAAATTAAATGTGATTAATAACGGAATGTTAGTGGAGGGGAAAAAATCTCACTAATCACCAAACTTCTTTCTCTCAAAGTAGACAGAGGAAAGAAGTAGATATGAAGTAGAATTATTCACAACAGATTTAAAAGGAAGCACCTCAGAAGCTTGCTCAGATCAGGCTGTCCTCCCACACACTGTCTCAAGTCTCTACCTTTCGATTTTGTCTTTGCTGCATGTTTCAAATGTCTAAAAGGGACATTCAAAAATCATACTCTCAAACCTATCAAATACACACATGAAGTCATAATGTTCTACACAAAAAAAGAAAGGAAAAGAAAAGAAAAAATAAAAAAGATGGAAATCCATTATTCAGAAAGTACTCATTTGTTCCCTGCAAAGCTCATAATATGCATTATTTATTGTATAAAGAGAACAACAGGGGCTTTTCGATCCGTGTCGTCAATTCACTAATGATACTAGAGTAAAGTTCCATTTTGTTGTCCTCAGTGTAGAAAGTGTTAGCATGGGCTTCATTAAAGGGGGAAAAAGGATAACCCCGAAACACAGATGACCTTGTATTTCACTTTCATATTTATGTTTGAATAGGAAAATGCCCCAAATTCTGGTAATTCACTTCAACCAGACTAATGGAATCACACAGAAGACTTCACCCGGAAGTATCTAGTTTCCACATTCTGTACCCTGCTTAGTTCTAGCCTGCTCCACTCCAGAGGAATACTATTAACTCACAGACTTTTTTTCTGAAAGTCGCTGAGAGAACAGAATTGCCTTTTCTCTTTTGAAAAATGTCTTCCATTTGACTTGCACCTTGCTGAGAACAAGATATCATTTGTTTTAAAACAGAGGCAACCTCAAATGTCCTTTCCTTCCAATTCTTGCTAAGTTATAGATTGAAATGAAAAGGAAATAAAGGGTAATAATGCTAACCAAGAAGGCCACTGTTACAGGGACACTGAGCAGGAGATGCCTGGGGGGAAAAAGTGGAGGAATTAGAGCTCAGAGATGGTCTGTTTCGGGACATCAGTCAGTCCTGGCCAGAGCATTTGGAAAAGCGCTGCTTGCAGAATGAATAGGCAAGGACTTTCCAGGAGGTGTGGGACTTTATTGATTTGAGTTCCTGGGCGGCTGTCATTCATCTTAAATTACCTTGTTTGAGGGGTGGACCTCTTGACCCAGACGTGAATGATGTCTCCTCCTTATTTAAGTCAGAAAGCAAAACGGAGAGTTGGCTACACCCTGAAAGTGAGAGAACAACACTTGGACACAGGTAAACAACTCGCAGGGGGGCTCCTTTTCCTCTTGGAGGCCCTCAATAAAAAGCAAGGATGATGCTTCTCTCAAGCAGCCTTCAGAAAGTGCACCTGAAGAACTTGAACAAGAAGGTCAAAAAAATATGCCATCTCAAGAGAATGAGAAGACAAGCCACAGACTGAGAGAAAATATTTGCAAAAGATATACCTGATAAAGGACTGTTATCCAAAATATACAAAGAAATCTTAAAAAAACAATAAAAGTAGGAACAACCCAATTAAAAAATGGGCAAAAGATCTGAGCAGACACCTCACCAAAGAAGGTATACAGATGGTAAATAAGCATATGAAAAGACACTCCACATCAAATGTTATTAGGGAATTATAAGTTAAAACAATGAGATACCACTACACACCTATTAGAATGGCCAAATCCAAAACACTGACAGTACCAAATGCTGGGGAGAATGTGGAACAACAGAATTCTAATTAATTGCTAGTGGAAATGCAAAATGGTACAGCCACTTTGGAAGATAGTTTGGTGGTTTCTTACAAAACTAAACATACTCTTACCATATGACCCAGCAATCATGCTGCATAATACTTATTTACCCAAAGGAGTTGAAAACTTATGTCAACATGAAAACCTGTACACCAACGTTTACAGCAGCTTTACTCATAATTGCCCAAACTTGGAAGCAACCCACATGTCCTGCAGTAGGTGAATGGATAAACTGTGGTACCTCCGGACAATGGAATACAACTCAGGCCTAAAAGGAAATGAGCTATCAAGGCATGAAAAGATATGCAAGAACCTTAAAAGTGTATAACTAAGTGGAAGAAGCCAATCTGAAAAGGCTGTATACTTTATGATTCCAACTACATAATATTCTGGAGCAGGCAAGACTATGGAGACCGTAAATAGCTTAGTGTTTGCCAGGGTTAGGAGAAGGAGAAATAAATAGGCAGAACACAGAGAATTTCTAGAGCAGTAAAACCATTCTATAGGATACTGTGATGATGGATACACGTCATTATACATTTGAAAACCTATAGAATATACAACATCAGGAGTGAACTGTATATAAATTATGGACTGAGTGATTATGACCTGTCCATGTAGGTTCATCAATTGTAACAAATGTACCACTCTAGTGGGAAATGTTGACAATGGGGGAGTTCTATGCATGTGTGCGGGCAGGGGGCATACGGCGACTCTCTGTATTTTCTGCTCAGTTTTACTATGAATATAAAACCACTCTCAAAAATAAAGTCTATTAAAAAAAGTGCCATCATGGATTATGAGCTGCCTTAAGCAATCTTTTCATCCCAGGAATGGGTTCCCCAACTTTCAAATATTCTTTCCCATTATCTCCATAAACCTTTGAAACATACTAGAAGCTCCACTTCCAAGAATTCTTCTTTCACTTTTTAAAGAAATATTTAAGTGCTCGTTATGGACTAATCATTGTGTAATGCTCCAATAATATAGTGTTTGATTGATATGTTTTTTTCACTATGTAAGATTTAAAATTCTCTTAAAATAGATGGCAATCTTGTCAGTGCTTTTCTTTTCTTAAGAATATATACAATAATGATGCATTTTATAGTCAGTATCTTAGATTTCACAAAATACGGTAAAATAATAAACAGCAAAAACATTTGCAGCTTCTGCCCAGTACGGAAGAAAGATTTAAATAAGTAATCATGCTAGGCTGGCCCCATGGCCGAGTGGTTAAGTTCATGTGCTCCACTGCAGGTGGCCCAGTGTTTCGTTGGTTCGAATTCTGGGCGCGGACATGGCACTGCTCATCAAACCACGCTGAGGGAGTGTCCCACATGCCACAACTAGAAGGACCCACAATGAAGAATATACAACTATGTACGAGGGGGCTTTGAGAAAAAGGAAAAAAATAAAATCTTTAAAAAAATAAGTAATCATGCAAATAAAGTTAAAATTATAACTGTAATTAGTGCTTTGAAAGGATGGTACATATTGCTGTGAGAGACGTCTGGGGTTGTAGGAAAGCCTTCCCAGGGGAAGTGGCAATGGTCTGTGAACCAAGAACTGCAGGAAGAGGAAGAGTTAGCTAGCTAAAGGAGAAGAGGATGAGTAGTCCAGGCAGAGGGAACTACAGGTACAAAGGCCCTAGAGCTGAAGAGACTTGGGGGCTTGGGAAGATCAGTGTGGAAGGAGGACAAAGGGCAGGGAGAGGGTGATGTGAGGTGAGCCTGGGGAGGTACCAAGTGAGGCACCCAAGTGAAAATGTCAAAAAAACAGTGGATTCTATGGGTCAAGAACTCAAAGAGGATCTCTGGGATGGAGATAAAAACTGTTGAGTCATCTGAATCAAGGTTGTCATTAAAGCCATGGGTAGGGAGAACATAACCAAAAGATGTGATTCTCAACTTGGGCTGCACTTTAGAATCCCCTGGAGGCTTTTAAAAATCCCAATGCCCAGGCTGTCTATAAAACTAATTAAATAGAAATCTCTGGAGCCAGCCCTGATGGCCTAGTGATTAAAGCTCTGCGCTATCAGCACTTTGGTGGCCTGGGTTCACTTCCTCGTTGCAGAACACCACCACCTGTCTGTCAGTTGCCATGCTGTGGCAGTAGCTCACAGAGAAGAACTAGAAGGACTTAGAACTGGGATATACAACCATGCACTGGGACTTTGGGGAGAAAAAAAAATGAAGATTGGCAACAGATGTTAGCTCAGGGCAAATCTTCCCCTGCAAAAAAAGAAAAGAAAAGAAAAGAAAAGACCACTCTGGAGGGTACCTCTGAATCAATATTTTTTAAGGTTCCCCATGTGATTCTTCAGGTGCAGCCATGTTTGAGTACCACTGGCCTAGAAAGAAAACACAGAGCAGAAAATGAGGAGATGCTAGAATGAAGAGTAGAGAATTCTGATACATAATGGCCTCGTGGAAGGGAGGAAGTTGCAAAGGAGACAAAGAAGAAATGGCCAGGAGATCCATGGAAAATCAGGAGAATGTTGAGTCACAAAAGTCAAGAGGAAAAGGAAGGAATTGTCAGCAGTGCCGACTGATTATAAGAGTTAAATAGGCAAGGACTGAAAACATCCTTGGGGGATGATCACAGAGGGTCAATGGTGATCTTTACCAGAGCTGTTCATTGGTGTGATGGAGTCAGATGCCAGATTATGCTGAGGATGGAGATGGAAATGAAAACACCAAGTAGTGAGGATTCTTTGTTTTGGCTGCAAAGTGGAAGTAGATTGAGGAGATCATGGGGTGGAGAAAATTTTATTTTGCTTTTGTAAATGAGAACTATCTGAGCATGTTTGAAAATTAAAAGAGAATAACAGCTTTAATATGCAAGTTATAATAACACACAATTCCTCAGAAGCTGGGGGAATTGAAAACCCAAATGCAGATGAAGGGACTGGGTTTTAATAGGAAGAGAGGATGGCTCCTCTACTGTAGCAGGAGGAAATAAAGGTGGTGTAGAATATTTTCATGTGCAGTTGTAGGAAGAGAAAGGAGTTTTTGTGCAAGTTTCATCTTGCATATGAAAGCAGCTCAAAATTCCTCATTAACCTATGGTCCTAGTTTGGCTTCAGAAGTTATGCTTCTCATAAGGGCAGTCTTATCCATGGGCTGCTATCCATGTGTGCTAATTATGTTATAGGCTGGCATTTTCTATCAAACCTCCTATTCATATAACCACTATTAACTCATTAATTCACATAAGCAAGAGTTATTTCTTAGGTGACTAGTTAGGGATTGTATCTCTGACATTGAAACACATACTTATCCAACAAAGGTTTGCCTGGTGCCCACCCTGTGCCAATCATTGCAATGGCTACTGAGAACAGAGAACAGAAAAGCGAACAAGATGGAGAATTTAAAATTCCCTCTAATCCTACCCTCATCCCAAGATAGTCGCCTAGATAGGAAACTAATGACTAGTAAGTAATTTACAATGATTAAAGAGTCAAATCACTGCATCCTTACTCTAAACACTTTTTTCCTTTGTTATCGTTCTTTCAAAGGCACTATTGCAGTACAAGCTTGGCTTTGTACATGTTAGTTCTTGAAGGTACAGCAGTTTTTGAGCACAAGATACTCCTAAGGGAAGTGTTACTCAAACACCTAAAGCCTTTGTCATCAATGCCTGTTGAATAGGAGGATAGTAATCTTTAAGCTCCTTTAAAAAGTTAGATAAAAAATTACTTACTCATGGAATTAGAAAATCTCCTGGTTGGGACGATCCTTAAAGGCCATCTTTTCCAGTCTCCCATTTGAAGGTTGAGTCTCGTCTGGCCTGAAGAGAAGATGGGTGGAGGCTGATGGTAGGGGACTGGGGGTTAGGGACTGTGGGTGGGGGTACTGGGGCAGGGGAGGGACCTCAAGGAGGAAGTGTAGGCAGGGAGAGCCCACTCTTAGTGCACAAGCCCCCCACATACACACACGCACAGGGCTTTCTTCCATTCTTTATTCTCCTTCAGCCCAGTTGAGACTGGAATCAATAGCAAATAAGTAAAAAACAGAAAAATAAATGCATTTTCCTCTATTGTACTTACAGTGTTTTGCAAATAATAAGCACTTAAGATTAATAAGTGAATGAAAGAGCAACATGAATGACATTTCTCAGCCAACTGATGAGATCAGTGAACTACTAGAGTGTAAAGATAATATAAACGAATTTCTTCATGCCCTCTTCAAAAGTGACCAGTACTATTTATAAAATGAGGTTGATCCTCTGTGCCATGGATTGTGCTAGAAGAATCAAAGATGAATATGATAATGCCTGCTCTTGGAAGCTCATGGTCTACAAAAGTTGCAGAGAGCAAATATTTACAACATGGTAATAAGAGCTACTCTAGATGTATGGTGTGATTATGCTCCCCTGATGAGTGGGCTGGGGTAACCACAGGCCAAGCTGGCCTCAGGAGCACAGATGAAGTGTTAAAACCAGGAGGAAGTACAAAGATTAGTTGAGTGGGAGGCCCCAGGCTGGTAAGCCAGAGAAGTGAGTCTATACCAACAAGGATAAGAAGGAGGGTCTGGGGTAGCTGCCAGAAACTGGAGCATAGGCCAAAAACTCAAATGCGCAGGGAAATGGGACCTTGGAGCTACAGTCCAATAGGGAAGCAGGAAAATAGTCTGGGTGAACACTGGAACCAGGGGCTTTTGCCAGTCTTGGCTTCCTGACTCTTTCTAATATTTGGCACAGGCAGAATTGGCTTTGTTTAAAACAGTGGAGGAGACAGATGAGAAAAGAGAATTCAGAAGTAGAAGCAACCAAGGGATTCAGAGAAAACTTCCTGGTGGTCTTAGATGAAGCAGATGTCTTAGAACTGTAGAAGCACTAGGGCTGTGCTCTTTAGGAAGATGACTTTAGTCACGGCTACCACTGCAAAATCCTGAGATACTGCGGAGTGAGTGCTCTGTGTGGAGAGATGTTTCAATGGCCTTTCACTATCTAGGATTCAGTTATGCACTAGGTTGCACGTATTCACCACACACTCACACACTATTGGCTATTAATTCTCCTGGTTGTTGATACACATAATGAAGTTACATTAATCCACAACCTTGAGACTGATGGAAGGAAAATCCATTTGACAGATCAGATAACTTTTAGTGGGATAAAAGAAAGATATGCTCTGGTTCCCCCTTCTTTTTAATTTGTCCATTAAGAACTTGATTTTTTCTTTTTTTTTTTTGGATGAGTTGGATGCATATATGACTGCAACAAGAAACAAAGTTAAGAAGAGTGGTTAAGTTCATGCACTCCGCTTCATTGGCCCAGAGCTTCACTGGTTCAGATCCTGGGTGCAGACATGGCACCGCTCATCAGACCATGTTGAGGTGGTGTCCCACATGCCCCAACTAGAAGGACCCACAACTAAAATATACAACTATGTACTGGGGGGCCTTGGGGAGAAAAAGCAGAAAAAAAAAAAAAGAAGAAGACTGGCAACAGTTGTTAGCTCAGGTGCCAATCTCTAAAGAAAAAAAAGAATCCTCTTAGATGGCAGTGACACGGTTTTACCATCATGAACTACCAGTGATTTTAATAGACATTTGACCCTAATCTTTAATTATCACCATTAAGAGAGGATCAACCATGTTAAAACCAAAGTTATCATTTTAGGAAATGCCTAACAGAGCATATAACCTCAGAGCTAATGGCTGCATTGATGTATCTAGACAGAACATTTAACATCTACTTTGTCTTGAAGAGTATCCCAGGAAACTAAATTTACCAAATCTAGCCTTCTGTGGGTGGCTTTGTCTAGCCTTAAATAATCGCAGCCGAGCTTTGGTTCAAGAGCTCTTCTTGAACTCACTGTCAAGAAACTTTTCAAAAGCTAAGGTAAGAAAGATAATTCCTATGGAGAATTAATTTTGTGACCCCCTTCCTCTAGGTTCTGTGAAATTTGATCTTAGCTTAAACCAAACTAGCCACTAGAGTATACTTTGGTGTGGTGCCAGCAGAACCAGTGTAAGAAGTAGCCCCGAGGAAGAACGTGCTATGTTTAATATGAAGGTGATATTGATGAGTATTTGATACTCATTACAGTACACAGTGTCTTCTGTAGGGAAATCCACCAAAGTTTTCTCTCCTTAGGAAGAGGGGTGTGTGTGTGTGTGTGTGTGCACGTGCCACTCAAAAATTTTTATTTGGGAAGTACAATTTGCTGAAAAGTGCATAAAAGAATACAATTTGGCAAATGAACAGCCTTGTGAAGGTCAGTACCCCGCCTTCCTCTCTTCTCCATCCTCTCCCTGCGCCCTGGAAGGTAACTGTTATCTTAACTCTTATTGTAATCACTTTCTTGCTTTCCCCTATAGTTTTAAACCTATGTATTCATTTCTCAGCAATATAGTTTAAAAACTGTCTTTCTCTCTCTGTGTATATACATATATATATATGTGAAATCACAATACATATTATTCTGTTCAATGTTATGTAAGATTCATCATATTCCTGAATATAACTGTAGTTTATTCATTTTCGTTGCTGTATATTATTCCCATGTATCAAAGTACCACAATTTATTTATCCATTCCATATTTGGTGGATATGTGAGTAATTTTTTTAGGAGTTATTGAGAACAATGATGCTCTTGATATTCTTGAAATGCATATAAAACGGTTTCTCTGGAATATACACTTTAGAATATAATTTCTGGGTTAAAAATAAATATTTCTGTATATGCATTATGTATGTATGTTTATATAAATTTTTCAGGATATAAATATACGTATATATTTCTAAAGGACTAGTATTCAGAACAGCCTTCTACTGTGCTTCTCTTGGTTAATGAATTGGTTTTACCCCATTGGTGCTGTTACTCTTATAAACAGTCATTTTTCCCTCTTTGCATTGATCATTAGGAAACTCAAAGCCACCTTTTTCACCAACTGTGCTCTGCAGAGCCCTGGGGGTTCTGGGGGTGGTGAGGGTGCCTCTGGGGCTGCTGTGGAAGAAAGGTAGGAGGAAGGATGCATCCCTCCCACCTGGTTCATCCAAGCAGAACAGCTTCTACTTTTATAAAATATTATGGGTGTACAAACAACTATAGAGGATAATATTTATTTTTTTAATTCATTATACATATTGGTTTTCTGAATTTGTTTGTATTTTAAGAAAAACTTCCATAGTTTAAAAAAAATGGAAACCTCTGATCTAATTCACTCAGATAAAAAGTACAGAGCTGGGATCAGGAGACTCAACCTTGTTGATCCAGGCTTCGTGTGAGTCACTTCGTCTCTCTGACCCTGCTTACTCCTCAGTGTAGTGAGGCTCAAATGACTAGATGATGTGGTTATTCAGAGAAATTCAATGAAGAGTCTTTAGTAAAATACTGAAGAGACTTCACAATACCATAGAGACATCAATCAGGGAGTACAATGGCCTAGACTCTGGGGTCTGCACCAATGTAGTTACTAATGTAGAGAAATTGATCTGTGCACACTTTTTAGGATTCTTGGCATTAATATTTGACTCAGAGATTTTTGCTCTAATATTTTGAGACACCTTGGTCTATGACATAGATGCATTTTTTTTCTGCTTAAATCCATATTGTTCAAGTAAACTTTAATGTAGTGCTTAAGAGTGTGGACTTTGAAGTCAAACAGACTGAGTTCAAGTTCAAGCTGGGAAACCTTGTGCAAGTAACTTAACCCCTCTAAGGCTCAGGTTCCCTGTTTGTGAAAGAGGCTAATAGTAATACCTACCACATTCGTTGGTTGTAAGGAGTAAAGGAGATAATGAAGGCAAAATGTTCTGCACCCAATAAATACTTGCTGATATCAGATTATTCTGATTCATAGTCTACTCTTCTCCACTGATCCTGTCATCATCTTGGATGACACTAATATCTATGTTGACATCCAGCACCCTAACTTCCCAGGTTTTTGATCTCTTCCTTCCAATGACATTCATCTCTCCACTTCAGCTACATGGCTACTCCCTGGGCCTTATCATCAACAGGAACTGTGTCACTTCTGGAATATCCTAATTAAGAATCACAATTTTCCCTCCATTTTTTAAGCTGCTATATCAGTTAGAGGGTACCAGGTGCTATAACAGATGAAACACAAAATTTCAGTGTCTTACCACCATATAAATTCATTTCTTAACCTCTTAAAGTCCAGAATAGGTGCTTCTGATTAGCGGGCAGCTCTCATCTAAGTAGCAATTCAACGACGCAGGTTCCTTCCATTTTGTGATTCCAACATCTTCAATATGTGGTTTCCAAGGCTGACAAGAATGGAAAGGGTGTAGTGGATTGCATGTGGAAATTTTTATGGATCAGATCTAGAATTGGCACACAACACTTCCATCCATAGTCTGCTGGCCATCACAAGAAAGATAGGGAAAAATAATAATCTGTGACCTAGAAGAAAGAAGATACAGGCTTGGTAAATAGCTACCCAGTCTCTGCCATTCTATTATCCCATTTAATCTTAAATTTTCAGCCTCATCAAGATATCTAATCCTTTAATCTTCATACTTCCTTCTGACAGCCCTCTCCCAGTTCCTTCCCTCCTAGTCCAGCCTATTTCCCATGATCCAACATTTGAACTCTTTCAATGCCATCAATTCCCTTACCACCTTGTCATTTTCTTAAACATATTTAGAAAAGTACCAACCACAGATCAATCTAACCACTCTCATTCTCAGTTCCTAAAACTAGGTTGCTGGGGGCTGCTAGGAAACACACATACACACACACGCACACACACACGCGCATGCACACACAGAAAACCAAGTGGCCTGGTGCCACTAACATTTCATTTTTTCCAGCATCAACTATGGCCCCAATGTTGCTACATTGTTTCTAATAACTCTAATATTCTACATATTTCTAATCAGCTTTCTTCCTCTTTTCCCACAGTGACTACTATATCAGTCTCTAATCTCTCTAAACTGCTTCCTATATAGCTTTTTATTTGTTTATTTAAGCTTTATTTATTTAAGTTTTTATTGAAGTATCACTTCAAACATCACAGAGAAAACAGAAGCCAGCATCCCTGGCCTAAAGAGAACAGCCATGACTGCTTTTCAAAGATGTAAGTGTTCACCTAAGCAATGTATTTCTTAATGCCTTGGTGAAGGGAATGTCTTCTGAATCCTCTCAGGGGACATGTAGTTAGGGTGTGGGTTTGTGAACCTTACTGGATAAATCTAGTCTAATATTGCTGTCTCCCTATGTCTTTGAATTCTTTCTTCTCCATTATAACAAGGAACCTCTGGCAACTTATTTTCATTGAGCATGGCCCAATGTTGTGTCTAGATTTGAAGCAACTAAGTAAATAGATAGAATATATTGAGCCAAAATATTGAATTCAGAATCTCTGGTCAGTTCATGCATATTAAATAATTCAATCTCATTTAGAATTATGTTCCTCTTTCTTTGATCTTATATGTTCACAATTCCTTCCCACTGATCCTTACTAGATTTTGCTGAAATAATTAGCAAATTCTTACTATTCCATTTGGTGTGAAAATAATCTCCTCCTGGGTTTAACTTTGTAATTGATCCACTGACACATTCTAGGACATGGTTCTAGATACAGAACCTGGCAGGAGTTGGGGACACTGGTTCAATTGGGAAAGAGGAGAGTTGGCTCCTTGTTAGGTCATTGCAAAGCCTTTAATAGAGGAAAAACAGCTTCATCAGACAGGGAGAGAGGGTTGCTTTACAGGGCAAGGACTGTTCAGGGGAAACTGAAAGCTTAGAGGACTCTAAACTGTCTGCGATGGTTAATTTTATGTGTCAACTTTACTGGGCCACAGGATGCCCAGATATTTGGTCAGACATTATTCTGTGGTGTGTCTGTGAGAGTGTTTCTGAACAACATTAATGTTTGAAGTGGTGGACTGAGTAAAGCAGGTTGCCCTCCCTAATGTGGGTGGGCCATTAAGGCCTGAATAGAACAAAAAGGCTGAGTAAGGAAGAATTCACTCTATCTTTGAGCTGAGACATTGGTCTTCTCCTTCCTTGGTCAAAACTAGGACTTATACCCTCAGCTCTCCTGCTTCTCAGGCTTTCAGAATTGGACTGGAATGACACAGTTGGGTCTCCTGGGCCTCCAGCTTACTGACTGCAGTTCTTAGGACTTCTCAGGCCCCGTCATCATGTGAGCCAATTCTTTACAATAAATCATTCTCTTTCTCTCTCTTTCTTTCTCTCTCTGTCTCTTTCTCTCTCAATAGACAGAAAGATATAGATAGATACAGATATAGAGATAGATACAGATATATAGATAGACTGGACTCTCTGGAGAACCCAGATTAATATATCATGAAAGTCTTCCCATAGGTCTCTATCTTGCTGAGAGCAAACCTCTTCCTGATGCATGCCCCTACCTTCATATAAGAGATCTAGTAAAGCAGTGATATCAATGACTTAGTAATTCAGCAATCTGCAGGATCAAACTTGGTGTTTTGTTTTAGTCTTTTACCCTTAGGTAAGTATACATAAATAATTCCTGATTTTCAGGCTATACCTGAATTAGAAATTTGAGCTTGACATTCTCCCTCTTAAAGTTGTTCAGTGCAAACACAAGCAATCATCTTGACCTATAGAACATGATTTTTTCAAGCTCTCTATAAAGTTGTATGGTAGCTGCCAAACCTTGTCTTCAATGGGCATTCCATTTCAGGTGACCACAGCTGATAATTTAATTAACTCTTTTGCCACTCTGTGCCATGATCTACTCAAGTTCCACCACCGAATGCACTTAGTGCATTGCCTTTGGCCCGAAGCAGCCCAGGTAACTAATTCTATATTCTCCCATTTCCCTGTTATTGTGTACAACCTCTCTTGGTGCCAATTTCTGTATAAGTCCAATTCCTTTGTCTGCAAATGAAGGAGAACTCTCACTTGCCCAGCTTTAAAAATCAAGAAATCTCGAGGTAGTATGGCTTCAAGTTTGGTTATTTCAAGAGTTTGATTATATCCCCAAGGACCTAAGTTCTTTTCAGCTTTTCACTCTGCCATCCTTAGCACATCAGCTTTGTCCTTGGGCCAGTTCTCTTGAGAGTCACAAGATGGCTGCTGCAGTTCCAGAGAGTACATGCAGACATTACAAAGTCCAACAGAGAACAAGGAAAACCTTTCCAAGGAGTACCTCCACCCATATTTTATTGGCTAGGACTGGGTTACATGCGGTACACAAACCAATTACTGACAGGAGGAATGGAACACCATGAACAGCTTTCACTACTCAGGAGTTATCCTTGAACTAGAGATAGGACCACCTTCCCTGAGCTATGGCTCTACAGAGGAAGGTAGACATCAGAGTAACATCAGGGCTCTGCCAGCAAAGAAGAAACAGGAAATGCAGACTGAGTAGGCAACCAATAATGATGATTATGAGAAAGGACAGAGAATGGTCAACACCTGATTTTTTATTCTTACCACTCAGTCTTCACCCTGATGACAGATGGGACTGTGATTCAGGAAAGTGATCAATAGCAAGGTAGAGAGATCAATCAGAGAGGGCAAGGGAGTCCTCACCTCCCACAATAAACAACACGCAAATCCCCAGAGTGATCCGAGAAGGAGAATTTCCACGTGAGGACGGACAGTTAGTCTTAAAGCTTCCCTGGGGAATGTTCTCAACCTAGCCTAGATCCTAGTGGTCCAGACCCAAGAGAATAAGGCTGACCACCCTTCAGGGGAGACCCCTACTCCCACTTACAAGAATACCTAATCTTATAGCTCATCCAAAGAAACACAGTAGCCCCATATTAAATCACAAAAGACTAACATACATAGCAGAGAGCCCCTCCTAACTAGGAGAAGAAAAGATGGGCAATGGCTGGAAGAAGTGAGAATCTATTTCTCTTTGCAAACATCCTTCACATATCTCCTTGATCTTTGGAGATTTTTTTACCCTCAGGGTACCTTTGATGTTCATTAACTTGCTCTCACCTGGAGACAAAGGAGAAGGTTTATGAGGTTTTTTGGTGAGGAAGATTGTCCCTGAGCTAACATCTGTGGCAATCTTCCTCTATTTTGTATATGGGACACTGCCACAGCATGGCTTGATGAGTGGTGTGTAGGTCCCCACCCGGGATCTGAACCTGTGAACCCTGGGCCACCGAAGCAGAGCGTGTGAACTTAACCACTATGCCACTGGGCCAACCCTAACAAAGGAGAAGTTTTGAAGTGGAGGTAGAAGTGTAACAAATAATATGACTGGTCCCTGAGGACAGACTGCAGGGGTTCTCATGTATTCATAGGACATATGGACAGCTCACATCCTCATGTGGAAGCTATTTGAATCTCCTGTTCTGTTTGGCTATCAGGGTGGCAAGGACGATTTGGCCATGCAGCCTGCCCTGGACCTACATGTCTGCCACCTTCACTGTGTATAGAGATGCAGGGCTGAGCCTGCTCTGCTCTGGGCCCAGCCCAGAGGCTCATACTGGACAATACTGGGAACAATGGGTCAGTCTCCGGAGTTCTCCACTGCTCCCACTGAGCCCTGGCAGCGTCCAGCAGAGGGAGCAGTGTTTGCCATTTTGCCTCACATCCTTGTGAACCCACCAGTTGCCCTCTGTACCTCCACTCCAGCCCCAACTTCACAGCCTCACCCAGAGACTCTCAAAACCCTAACCTCTTTCGCATGCTCTCAGCTGAGCTGTTTTGCCTTCATTCCCTTATTTTGATCTTTGATCCTCACAACAGTTCTGAGAGGTGCCCGGGAGAGTGTACAATTATCCCTGTTATCCAGGTGGGAAGGCAAAGCTCGGGGAGGTTCATTCTGTTCCCCTAAGGTCACGGTCAATGAGTGGTGAACACACCAAATCACCTTCTCCTTCCCGGACTCCAGGACTCTATAAAATTGATGACACTGGGCCAGAGGGACGATCTCGAGAATTGTTGCCACAGTTATATAACATGAGCTTTTAGGACTAGAAAGGGTTTTAGAGCTTATCTGTCCTGTTTGTAATAATGAAGAGACAGAGGTAGGTATTGAGGAAAAGTTTAGCAGATTGGTATTCACAGGACCAGTCCTAGAACCCAGGGCTCCGGATGCCCAGGCCAGCACTGTTTGTTCTCTCTCCCCACGTTGCCTCCACGTTGGGGCCCTTTCTTTCTGAACTCATTCTCTTTTACCAGGGACAGTAATTAAGTTTATGAGAAGCAACTCCTGATTTTGAAGCCTTTCAATTTAAAGGCATGAGAGGAAATAATTAAATTGAATTGAAGTCACAGCATCTAAAACGCCAGCTTTATTCCCCCTTTTATCTAGTGTGTTTATGAACAGAATTCATCATGCACACTTTCACCTTGGCAACCCACAGAGCTGGAGTTGGACTGAAACGTTGTGCAGTGAGAATTCACTGAAATATTCGAACAGAGGCTAACGGACTA